CCCCCCCCCCCCCCTCTTAAGTTACACGAGGCTACTTGACTAACAGTCATTCATGTTGACTATAGGTTATGGGTAATAGAAGCGTACTATATATTAAGGGGGCATTTGTTTCTAAGTAAGATGTTGCATTCCTGGGTTATAATTGGATTAGAGGATAACTTTTCATATTCTCTTGAGAATATGAATTTCCCACCCCTCACCATCAGAATAAAAATGAAGCAAAATAAGGTATTGTTACTTTCATGGACATGAACAATACCAAGGAAAGAACTTTTGAAACTTCCATACCCAAGAATAAATTTCTAAACCTTGAACAAACTCTCCAAGGAATTGATCATTTCTAAGCTTAGAAAATAGAATCCCTTATGAAGGTTAACAAATTGATTCAAGTTAAGTAAATCTAAATAGAGCAAGTGAAATCAATTTCCCTTACATCTTCCCTATTCAATTCTCATGGTTAATTTCACCACTGTTATTGTTAAGCTTTCCCTTTTCCGTCACTAGTAGAACTCACATTAACCCATAAAACATCCAATTATTCTTGAGATAGAAAAATAGTGCTCAACATTATCCAATCCTTGAGGTTGTGGGAATCATGTGCCACAAAGTTTCAGATATTTTGAGGGAAAAACAATTGTCCAAAGGGCTTCGAACAACTTCTTTATATATGCCATTTTATATGTTTTTGGCAAGGTCTGTTACAACATTCATGTATACAAGCAGTTAGTCTAGTAGTTACCATTTCAATGTGATGAAGTGGCATTCCTAGCTTCTTTGAGGTGATTAGCTAGTGGCTTGTTGAAGTGGGTTTCTTTGTCAGATATATGATGAAGATGATAAGCTTTACTCACTTTCAGCAAAAAAAAATTCTCATTTTTAATATTAGGTAGCTACTTCAGGAGAATATTGTACCCTCTGCTTCTGTATCTTATTTGTCCTCTCTAATTAAATTAATTTTTCTTATTGAGACTAAAGAAAACAAGATTTATAGTGATTAAGCAAAAATGCAAATTTTGGGCTTGAAACAAACTTATCCTGTGAAAATCAAAATATGGAAAAACATGTTGTAGCACAAATAATAACCATACTATCAATACGGCAAAACAACAAGAGAGCAGAACAATAAAGGGTAGGGGAAGGTACCTCAAAGTTAGAGGAAACAGTTAGGGTAGGTGACAGTTGACTACTTTTGGAGACATCAAGATCAGTCATATTGCCAGGAGGCTTTGAAGTTGTCCTGTAAGAACACATTATTTGTGCTAGAGAAACTATGAATTGCAAACATGCACACACAAATAAACATGATGTCTGCTTGAAAAGCTTCAAATGACTTATTGGGTTTAGCAATGGAATCCATGTCAATTTTCAACGAAGAACCACATGAAGTAGTTTCCAAAAAAACACAATCACACCAAATCCCATATGTATAGTAGGCTACATGGATCATTTAACAGCATTAACTTCTATAAGAAAAAAAATTATTAAAGAAAAAAAAAGTTCTCAATAAAACCATTACAAACTATGGCCTTTTTAAAAGATTTCTCCAAAAACTTTCTGTGGTCGCTTGGCCAAATTGAATTGAAGTACAGGACTATCTTCCTTTTGATCCACTTGTCCCACTGACTTTATGGGTCTTCTTCTCATGTGACCAAAAACCATTACAAAACAAGTCTCTGTCTGGCCATCAATCAATGCTACCCCAACTTCCACCCAAACACATTCATTCCTAATCTGATATTTTCTATTATGTTCCTCATCCACCTTAATTGTTGCATTTCTGCTACATAATTTTTTTGAGCTCTTTGGGCACTGTGCAGCCCAAAATCAAATAGCTTACTTTCCAAACAGAAAACTCATTAAACTTACAATGCATGACAAGAAGCAGAATATATAGCCTATGTATTAACGAAGAAACCAAACCAAATAAGTTTCCAATTAGTGAAAAATAACTGTTCAGTGAAGAAGATATAAAATAATAAAAAGCAAACTAACCTTTCATTCACCACATGAAGAATAGGATAAAGAGGACCAGCAAGCATGGCAAGAAATCGGAGGTTAGACTCAGGACTATCTGGAAAGCTTGAAAGGTCTGTCTGCAGTTTTACAAACAATGCTGAATAACCTAACAAAAGCATCAAAAAACAGAAGAAAAAAGAGGAATTGAATAGTCATGAAAGTAAAAATGCTCGAGTTTACCTCTAGTTGTGGAAGAAAAACAAGCAACCGACTTGTCATGTCTTGCAACAGCTATTACAATGAAACATCAGAAAGAAAAGAAGAATAATAGAATAAATACACTACATAATAAACATGTTAATGGCAGCAAATATGTTATCCACCTGGAGACGAATATCATGAGGATCCTGTTTGTGTGATAGAATTTGAGGTAGCAAGTAATTAACAACTGGTTGAAATTCAGGTTCAAGACCAGCCACAGGAACTCCTATTAGCTGCAAAAGACAGGTTGTAAAAACAAGCTCAGTAACAAGTTACAACCAAATGAAACTTTATTTTCATAATAGTAAGTTGTGTTAAAAACAGAAAGAGAGAAGAGTACAACAAGATGTAGGCTACAGAATTCTCAGAGTAGATAAAAAAACACAAACACATGCAGAACACAACAGGTGCTTTGAGGGAGCAAAAACATTCAAAACTTTTCCTAGATGTGTTTTATGAGAAGGCTTTTGGTATACACTGTTTCTATTTGTGGGACAGGATAGATTGCAAGACATATTCAAGAAAATGTTCATGTTTAGGTGTGTGTCAACTGAAAATCTTTGGAGGGATTTGAAGTGCAGCTTCACATAGATTAGCTTCAAAACAGTTCCCTTTATGGTTTGTATTCTTCAGGCATTGGTTTTGTGTCTCGTGTATTTTCGTCCCTCTCCCCAGCTTTTTTCTACTTATTAATTTAAAAAATCAATTTTCTACATAAGTAACAGAAATTTCACAAAGAGAAGCTAATGATGTGAACAGAAAATACAACACATCAATCACTTAAAAGAATATACATACACATACGCATACACACACACTTGTGAATGAATAAGCATTTTTAGTCCATTTGGTGAATCTTAGACACAACCTCCAAGCTTGGAGCAGGCATGTGGAGGGCTTCACTGCTCTATTGATTTTTTTCTTGTTCATATTTTCCCTTAATGTAAGGAGAATCCCTTATCCTCCAAATTTTCTGTAATTTTCTTCTCTTCATCTAAATGACTGTACTCATAAAAAGACTTTGAAGGAAAACAACAGAGAGAGTAAGAACATAACATTATCCCAAAGAGAATTTAAGATTAAAGGCACACCCTTAAAGATGGATGTGATCCCTCCAGCACAATGTCACAAAAATTTTGGCCTCCCTAATCATGCAAAACCTTTGAACCAACCATCAGAAACTGCTCAATGGAGCTCATTCACACCCAGTGCTAATCAAAACCCACAAAAGGTTGCCTCACTGAAATGCAGAAATAGGTATGTCACCATTTTCTAAACATAAATTGAATGTGACACACATGTTAATTGACGTTATAAGTAAAGAACTGGCATGATGTACACAAAGCACATTTGAGATAATCCTATTAAGAATTGCCATCCAGACATGGCACTTGAACAAAGGAATGAAAATAGCGAGCTACAGCACTTGGATAGCTCCATAGAAGGGGGCAGCAGCTACTGCCACAATCGGAACCTCCATAGCAGCACCTTCAACGTCACAGCCATAGCAGCCAGAATCACAGCTGTAGCGATCGCATTAGCACTGCTACTTCCAAAAATGCTAACATAACCATTTGGGCTTTTATTATAAGGGTAATTGAGGAACTTTAGTTTTTTATTATTATATTTAATTAAAAAACTGTTTTAACTTTTTACTCAGTCCTCCTTTTTCTGAACACTGTCCCAATAGTCCTTACTGTTTCAGAACACAGTCCTTTGTCCCGATAGTCCTTCATGTTTCAGAACACAGTCCTTTTTTTGCCTTTTTTGGAGAATGTTCTCTGAACACATTCTATTTTTTTATTTGATTGACTCTCTGAACATGTTCGAAACACATAACATTGTACAGGATAAGGCTGTTTTTACTTCTCCTTTCAAATTTATCTGTTTCTACCTACAACTTTCAGGAGAGGCTTTTTTCCAGGACAGCATTTCTTCCTCTGTTTTCTTCTCCAGTGACTATTCTTCCTCTGTTTTCAGGAGAGGCTTTTGTTTAAGAAACTTATTAAAATCCAGTATTTTGTTGGTGTCACTATGAGGAGACTTGTTACATATTTAATTCATCTAATGCATGATTCTGTGTAGAGTTACAATTAATTATGCATGTAGTTTGCATTATATAAACTATATAAAGATACTAGAATAGCGGCTGTCCCACTATATGCTATACTGCTATAGCGTTTTCGGGTTCGGCCACTCAACTCTGCTATCTAGGATTTGAAACCTTGCTTGATCATAGAGGGAGCTCAAAAATTATTACTTACAAGATTAGGTGACAAGACGGATGGATTTACAAGAAAAGAGCCAAAAGAATCTATTAAAGCATCATGTCATGACAAAAGCAACAACTAGTACACTAGTGAGTTTGTTTCTGACACAAGACACTATAGCAATTGATTCAGCGGTAAAAGCATTATTTTTAAATAACAAACTACTTAAAAAGAACAGAGAAACAGCATAATATTATGGCATAGCAGTTTGTAGGCTGCTCTTTGTAGTATTTGGCTGGAGAGGAATGCTCAGATTTCAAACAAATTATTTGTCCATAGAGATGCTTAGGGACAGAAATGCATATATCAAGTCCTCTATTTGGTCTCAGCACACTGCATGGCTTCTTACTAAAAGTTCATCAGGTAGACATGCTAAAGGGCTGGATTTAAGTCATTTTATTGAAGATGCTTTTTAGTTGTTTTCTCTATGTATGATGTTTTCACTCTTCTTCACTCGTTTAAGGAGGTTGTTTTATTCCAAAAGAAGGACAACAGACACGCAGAAGAATGAGGACTACTATACATCCCTTTACTAGACGAACTAAAATAACAGTAGTGTACCTTACAAGAACATTATGACTTAATTTAAAAGAAACAATTAAAAAATATAAAAAGTATACATCAAAAAAAAAATAATTGGAGAGCATTCTCCTACCTAATTAACCAAATGGCCTAACGTAAATGAAGACAAAATATCTAACAGTTCTATAGGATTCTATGAAGCCCGGATACTCCAAAAATGGAAAAGTATCGGTGTCATGCCCATATCAGACACCAATACGGCTCGAATACACCAACATATGTATCCAAGGAGTATCAAATTATTTTTTATTTTTTTATTTAGAAAAAATTATTGGATACATACAGCTCTGTTACAGTTCACAGTGGTTGGATACAGTTTTACAACATGTGATACGGCTTGGATATGTTTTTTTATCCAAATGTTCGTTTTATTAATATTTTAAATTTTTATTTTTAGTTTTAAAATTTTTAAATGGAGAAAACCTTTAAAAGTTAATATGCGTACTCTACAGAGACAAATTTCTCTTTTTTCTTACCAATATTTTATATTTATATAAAATTTTCTATTTTTTTAACGTAACTATATTGTATCATATCCTTAATTTCAACAAAAAATTTGTATCCCCTCGTACCCATGTCGTACTAAGCATGTAGGCTTCATAGATAGGATTTAACTCAATATTATAGAATAATAGCAAATGATGAAGAGCAGAAACAGTAAATCTTTTATAGTATACCTGAACAAAGAAAATGGCAATGGGATTTCCACGCAAACAAGATATCCTCACATATCGGCATGGAGTGTAATTTGTAGGGTAGATCATGTCTCGTCTAGGTGCTTCACAACGTGGACGAACTTTCTGAAATGTCTCTGGCTGGGAAGCAAAAAAGAATCAGTAAAGCACAGAACATGGTGTTATCATCTTGAATGGCCAAAGATCATCGTTTGACAACTTTCAGCCACTAACCTTGTAACGTAAGCCGACCGCAATTTCCCACTCAAGTACAGACTTGTTATAAATACGTATATGCGACAATAGGCAAGGCTCCTGCAACAAAGAAATGTAACTGCTATTTAATATAATGACAGCAGTTAATCTAATAAGGGAATTAAAGCACAGCAGAGAAAAACAGAAATTCAATTCATCGTATTTTCAGCATATTGGTACAAGAGACCATTAAACTATAGCCTCAACATAATAAGAAAAAACAGAAGAGAAAAGGGATAAGCCCAGAAGGAGAAATTACACAATCCTCAATGCCCCTTTTCTTGCTCCTTCCCCTTCACTATGTCATTTCTTACCCAGTTACCCTCAATCACCAACATAGTCCTCTAAGAGTTTTGTTACGCTTCCTCATTCTGTTACTCCCAGGCCTAGCAACACCAACACTTTTGTTCCCATCTCCTGCTCAGCAGAGCCACTATTTGACTCATCCACATCAGCCACCCTCCCATTCATCACATCTAAATTACACAAGATGCAAAACACCACAAATGCCCAACTGCTTCCAAACTTGAACCACTCAACTCCGAGCAAACAAACAAACCACTCTTGGCATCAATCCTATGTAGACAACACAATAAACCCTCCCTTCTCATTTTCAAATTTCAACATCACTACTCCACCACATCAGCCAAAATCCTATACTCCTAAAGTTACTGCTCAAAACTTACAAAACCAAACAGAAAAAAAAAAGTTTAATTACTTTTCTAGTCCTTGTAGTTTCATAAACTTTACCTTTTACCCTATAATTAAAAATATTTCATTTTAGTCTCAATACATTCTATGTTTCCCATCTTTTTCTTTTCCCCTATAGTTTCATAAACATTAACTCTTGGTACTAATAGTAACGGACGAAAAAGTTCATGAAACTACCTTCCATTACTATAATAAGGACTAAAAGACAAAGTTTATGAAACTACATGTACTAAATAAAAATAATAAACTCAGAATGCTGAATTTATCTTCGACTATTATTATTATTACTCCCTCCCAACACAAACAGTGAAACACTGAAAAAACAGAGCAAAAGCGCAAAACCTAAGCAGTAGTTTCACTCATTTACGCATCAAATCAAAAAAAAAAAAAATCCTTCCTCTGCAAGCAACCCTAGAGTTGAAATCCCAACCGAAGGAAACATCATTCACCGCCTATCAAGAGAGCACAGCATTACAAAAACGAACGAAAACAATTATAATTACAACAAGATGTGAGAAACATCAAAAAATTAAATAAAAAAAATGTTTAGCGGCAACGAAGAGAGAGAGGAACGAACATCGAGTTCCAGAAGGATCCATTCCTTGGTGTTGGTGGCGGTGGACCAGTGCGTGCGGAGGTCGGTGTCGAGAACGTGGAGCGCTTTCTGCGACGGCGATTCTCTGGACATGGCTTTCACTTTGAACGAAAGAGCCTTCACGCGAGGCTCCAACTCCACCTCCATTATCAGAACGAGACGAGATTCAAACGCGTCGAGTTTCGCTTTTGCGCCTTCGTTTTGTCGCAGTGTCACTCACTAAGACGCAACGCAACACTGGAATAGAATACAGGAAAAAATAATGGCCCCTTTCGCTGCCTCTCGCTGACAGACCCAGCTTTAAATACTGTTGGAAGAGGACAAATGGTCAATCTCTTTTTTTTTTTTCAAAGAAAAAAAAATGACGCTTGTTATGGTTTAATGTTCCGTTGTTTGTTTCGATGTTTAATTTTTATTTTTTAAATAATGTTTAATTTACTTTTACTTTAGAGGAATTATTTTTAATATTTTTTTAAATTATAAATCATTTTTGGTTCATTGAGTTATCAATCTTCTATATATTAACCACTGATTGCTATTTGACGTGAAAGTGTTTAAGAAGAAGGTTTGTAAGAATTCTTTTGATTAATTATTTAATTTAGTTATTAATTTTTATAATTATTTATGAATTATATATTAATATTTTAAAATAAATTATTAATAAATAAAAATAAATTTTTTTGTTATAATATTAATTATTTATCATAAATCTAAAAAATAATTTATATACTTAAAAATATTTATTTGTATAAATTTTAAATATAATTTATATATTTAAATATAGTATTTATTTTTATATAATTTTGTTACCTGAGGGTTGCCAGTGAAACTTTTTCCTTTTCACTCACTTTGTGATAAGCAAAGAGTTGTTCTACTTTAATTTTTCAATTTAGAAAAGCCTCTACATCATCCTTCCCATAGAAGTGGGGGAGATCTACTTTGAATTCTCATACTTTATGCTCTCTTTTAAGCTTATGATTTCTAGGCTCTTGTTGGTAGTGGTCACTCATGTATAAACTATCATGATGACTCAAACTAGGGTTATTAGAAGAACCCCTACTATGTAAGTTATTACCATTTTTTTTTTGTTTTTCTTTTCTAAAAGTTTTTGTTGTTCTCTAAATTGTTTAATCTCAAGCTTTATGTGTGTCTCTATCTCTTCCATCTTTATCTATTTTATTTCTTTTTCTAACATTTCTTTTTTCTCCAAAGCTTAAGTTGCTTTTTTACACCCATAAGTTTTTCAAGGTTTGGACATGAACTAGAGTTGCTATCACTTTGAGAAGTGTGTGAAGTATTCTTAGGCATGATGTACTTGTTAGAAAAAGATTTTCCCTAGTCTAAGAGAAATGCAATCTAATGTGTTCTAATAAGTCTTTAGAACCTCTTAAATACCCTAACATTTGGCAAGAAAAAAAAAAAGTTAAGAGAAAGTAAAGGAATGTAATGGCTATATGAGAAAGTTTGGGTGAATACTTGTGAGTTTCCCAACACACTTTCACAAGCAGTAACGAATTACTAAACAAAAATTACACACAAATTGGAAGTTTTGAGTAGGCACTTAGAACCTCTCAAAACCACTTCCAAGCAAAAGACTTTCACAAGAAATGAATTATAGAGAAATTAAAACCAAAAAGTAAAATAAAGTGCAACAAGTATTCAAATCTTCCAAGTCTTTTCCTACAAAATGAACAAACTCATTAGTGTAAGAGCTTCTAGTATTTACACTCCTCTCCAAAGTCTTTGGTCTTCAAACTCTTTCAAAAGATAGCCTCAACCAAGGAGCCAATCCTCCTAGGCCTTCATCAACATTCCAAGATGCTACCTTGTGGCAAGTGCCTTGATTACCTTCACTAAGAAATGTCACACCACAAGAGCACTAGAGAAAATTTTAGAAACAAACAATAAAAACACAATTAAAATAAGTTAAACTCAAATGAGATTAAATGTAACAAACTCAAACAATTACAAGAAAATAGACCAACTAAGATTAAGGTATTCTTTGGAAGATAGAACATCAAAGGAATAATCTTATGATTGGTTTAAGAATTTGATTACAAAATCAAGAAAAGATTCAAATCCACTTCCAAATTAAATGCAAATTTGAATGAAATGAAATGTGACAAGCATTTTTTAATTTATTTTTTCACAAAATGTTCCACATATATTTTTTATCACAAATATTTTTCTCTTTTCTCTTGTATTTTGTTTCTTTTCTATTTTTTTTTCTCTTCTTTTTTTTACACTTTTGTTTTTCTTTATTTTAGAGCAATTTGTGACTACTTTTCTTTTGTTTTAGTTGCTGTAATTTTGTCAAAAAAAATTCCAACAAAAGAAACTCAAAATTGCAAAAGGCTTAGAAGTGCAAAAATTCAAAAGGACTCCAAAAATTGGTCAAAATATTGCTACTACTCTTATTTTTGCTTAAGCCTTTGGTTTTCAAACTTTTTGCACTTTAAAGAGAGAGTTCAAATAATATTTTTCAGCATCCCCAAGAGTTTAAAATATTCACCAAAAGTTTGAAATCAAATTGAACCAAAAAATAAGGAAACAAGAAATAGTGATAACTACAAGACATGGAAACCTAAGGCTACTAGCAACATGTTAATGAACTAATAACATTCATGAACTCAAAGATTATAAGCTAAAAGCACATCAATTAATTTAATCCAAACACTTATAACATATATTTTGCAAGATTCAAAAACAAAAAGGACTACTAGAAGTAACGACAAAACAAAAACTACACATAACATCTAAGATATAAGCATTTTGCATAGATTTCAAAATAAAAACATATACACCATGTGAATACTATATCATGATTCATACACCATATTACCTGTCAAAATATAAAAGGAAAACTAACAAAACAAGAATCCTAAGGTCATACAAATAGATTTAGATCATATAAAGTATAACTAAAAACCTTTTGAAGCAAAAATTTTCAAGACTTTTTTAGATCTATCATATAGAATACAAAATTTAGATCTAATCAACAAACACTATACTATACATGTAAGAATACTTAGACAACAAGAAAAAGTATAAAAGAAACCTCCATGGATAAACCTAAGCTCTAAACCCAAATATGATGAAACTAATGGAGGAGATGCTTGTTGTTTCTTTTTTACTAGCTCTATTGAAGCTCCCAATCATCATCCATGGAGCCCAAAGCTTGCAACAAATTCAAAAATGGTGAAAGAAAAGGAGTGAAAGTGTGTCACTTCGAGGTGAAGATGAGTAAGAGAAGAAGAGCTTGTCACAAGAAGGAATTCCTTGATAAAAGTTCATAAAAAGTAAAATTCTACTATGAGAAAACTAAAACTTTTGAGAGAGAAAATTGAAACTCAATTTTATCAACTCAAAAGTGGACATCCAAGTGTAGGGGGAAGTTATTTACAGAGTTTGATAGCTTGTAGTGTAAGTTAATCTAACTATGGTTACATGTAATCTATATTAGGTTAACTTGCATTCAAGACTACTAACTCTAGTTACAATTTGAAATTTGAATTTCCTTCTTAATAATGTCACTACAGTAGATATCAAATAACCAATAGAAACATGTCATTGTAGACACCCAATTTCGTCCGGGAACATACAAACAAGGAAATGGACCTCTGTTATGAAGGGAAGGAGCTCCCGAAGCATGCAAACGACAAGATAGGACTTTAGAAGACCCAAAAAGAGCTAATTTTAGAAGATCGAAACAGGCTATTCCAAAAACCGAAACAGGCCGTTCCCAATTTGGAACGGGCCGTTCCAAGTTTTTAAAAGGGCCAATAACCCTAATTTGGAACGGGCTGTTCCTAAATTGGAACGGGCCGTTCGAAGATTGGAACATGCCGTTCCAAACTCTTCAAAAGAGGGCTAAAACTTTAATTGGAACGGGTCGTTCCCAAACTGGAACGGGTCGTTTCAAGTTATAAAAAAGGCCTAAAGATACTTGTTGGGAACACCCGTTCCAGGCCACCAAAGGATGTGTTAATTTAATCTCTGGAACGAGCCGTTCCAATTTCAGAACGGGTCGTTCCATTTATAAAATTTACACGCAACGGCCATGTCCAGAACGGGCCGTTCCGATTTTGGATCATGAATTAATCCAAAAGTGATACAATTCTCGGCCACTTGAAATTTATAGGAAATAATCAGGTTAAAGTGACCATGGGTTAGCCTAAGGTTAAGTGAAACCATGGTATGGTTTACTTAACCTTAGGCGCCCAAAATTTGAATTCAAAATTTAAATTTTGGAGCCTAAACCGGATCACACCATGTGCACCTCATTTGGAATGTCATTAAGCTTCCATTTGAGTTGCATTTCGGTCACACCATGTGCATGTGTTGTACATGGCCGAAATGCATACCAAATGTGAAATTAATTACATTCTAATGCAAATACACATGCAACCTAAATAACCCTAAATTTAAATGACCATCAAATGAAATCCTAATCTAAATGGCCTCTACTCCTAATCTACTTGGGCTTGAGTCAAAATCCAACTAAACAATGTGATGGGCTTTCCTTGAGCTTGGACCCACTCCTCTTGTATCCTCCTTGTCATAGTCCTAGTAGTTGGGCCCTTGGCCCATGGGCCTCCTCCATCAAAGCTATTTTAAATTTTGGCAACTCAAGAAGTGACATCGAAAATGTTGTTGCTTACAATGAATCTCCAATTGACAACAACTCTTATGACAACAACTCACCAACACTACCAGTAGATGCAAACAACTCGTCAGATCGAGGCAAAAGCGGGTTAAAGTGACTAGAAAGGTCCTTACCCACAAAGGGATTGAGTTTGGAGATGTGAAAAATAGGGTGGACATGAGACCATGGAGAAAGGTTGAACTTTCACGCTATAGGGCCAATATGACGAACGATGCGAAACGAGCCATAAAAATGTTTAACTAGTTTTTGACTAACTTGGCAGTGCGTGGTTATTTGGTGATAGGATTGTAACATCAAAAGTACCTAATAACTAACAAAGAAGGTAAAGTCACAATGATTTTGATCGACATGAAACTTCATTCTTTGTCTTGCTTTAATCAAATTGGTTGTTATGATTGAAATGATGGTACGATGTTCCTACATGCAAGATTGAAGCCGTGGAAACTAAAGCAAATGGTTGTGAAAGCAGATCAACGGTAGTGGGAGGGTGTCAACCATATAGAACATGAAATGACAATGTGTCGATGTTGGAGTGGAAGGAAGTGTGGTACCGAAACTCCACCTAGTGAAGGAAACATACCAAAGGCAAGTAGCGTTAATGACGAAAGAATGGAGAAAAGACT